ATAACTCGTGATGTCTATCAGCATATTTAGTTGTCCTTTCACAACTACATTTGCTTTAGTTTTGGCTCCTGCTGTTATCTGGTATATATTGGGGGTGATGAGCAGAGGTTGGCACCAAAAAGACACTAGGAAATTTTTCTATGTTTATCTTCACTGCAGTATGGATTAAACGTCTGTTATGTAGTGTTCATATTGTATTCCTAGATGAGCATTAGTACTAAATTTTCGTTATTTTACTATCAATTTTTGAGGAAAATACAGCAATCCAAATGTACGTGTATGTGTTTTTCTAATAAATGTAATGTGCATTAAAGAAACATGTCTATGATGCTAAAGGTAGTTTTTGAACTAGTAACTTACGTATGCACAATTCTACCGTGTGTAAAATCATCAAAATATTCTAAAATGTGTTAGGTATCTACCAACAGAAGTATTTGATTAATGAACTGGCCTAATAATTTGTCGTGCACATTGTGTAGAGCGTTCAAATTTAATGTCAGTTGAGACAATATTATCTCAACTCCATATAGTTTGCATTAAAGAGATTGTTTGAACCACGGGATTCAGCAGTGTGCTTATTGTTAGGTTGATCTTTTTGCCATTGCTAAAGCTTTTGGTCTAGGAAGACGAAAAACGTGTTTTGGTTCTATTTGGAAAAATGAACTTTTTTATGGACATTTGTTGATTTCTGAACTCTATATCTGCCAACTGTTATTTGGTGCTAGTGTTGTACCCTATAATTATGGGAAGTGACGCACTATCTACAGTTAACTATTAAGAAGCAAGCTTATCCTGACCTGTGTTATTTCATCATATAAATTGCCCTTTAAGTAAAGGTTTGCCCCATTAACTTTGCACATTTGTCATCCTTGGCAGGAATTCATAACTTATCATTTGGGAAAAATCATGACTCCTCAAGGTAGCACCTATAAGAGCGTTATTGAGTCCCAAGATGCCGATTATGCTATTGCACCTGAAATTGTTGAAGTTGGAACTTTTCCTTCCAGAAAATCTTCAACTCTTGCGAAGTGCGGAGCAGCATCCAATACTGCTGTGCACGATCTACTTGAATGCCCCATTTGTATGAATGTAATGTGCCCTCCCATTCACCAGGTTTGTTCTCATGCAATTCGACTTGAATAGGCTGTGCCTTCTGCACTCGTCACCATGGCATATTTAAGAAAATAAAGTAACATTGATTTATTCTTAAAAAGTTAATTTTCTTTGGCTAAAAAAAAAAATTCTTGGTTCTGAGTTGACAGTCAAATAATAGAGTTGTCAACTTGTCAGATTTTGTCAAAAAAAAAAAGATTTGCTCTCTTTTGAAACTGATTGTTTGAACCAGATTTTGTATGAAAACAGCACAAATTAAGCTAGCATTAACTCTGTCATATACATTTGATCCAATTTTCTCTTTTTCAGTGCCCAAATGGCCACACTTTATGCTCGAATTGCAAGTCCAAGGTACGCAGTTGCCCGATTTGTCGTCACAAGCTCGGGAGTATAAGGTGCTTGGCATTAGAGAAAATTGCACAATCATTAGAACTGCCTTGCAGTTACAAGATTCTAGGTTGTCAAGATACATTCCCATATCATAGCAGGCTTAGGCATGAACAGGATTGCAGATACCGTCCCTACAATTGCCCTTACACTGGAGAAGAATGCCTTGTCACTGGTGATATCCCGTTCCTTGTAGCACATCTCAAGAATGATCACAAGGTTGACATGCATGATGGGTGTACTTTTAAACATCGATATGTCAAGACCAAACCCAACGATGTGAATAATGCTATTTGGATGTTGACTGTAAGTGTTCTCTCTCTATCTTCTCTCTGACAGACATTCATGCTAGTTCGATCATGGGGAAGGACGAAAATCCTACCCTGTTAAATTTTACTTGTTTGATATGCTATCTACGAATGTATGACTTTCCAAATTGGATTCTGTTTCCATTTTGAGCTTTCTTAAAATAATGTCCATTTTTTGAATTAATATTTTTAGCTTTCAGTAACCCAAACTACTTCCCTCATGAGAAAAAATTTGCCACCTTTCAATTATTGTCATGTTTTTGGATTTGATTTTCTTTACTGTGGTATAAAAGAAATTCCTAACTTTTGAAATTCATGATCAGTCTTCAAAACTTAAAGAAGGACGATAAAAGTGGTTGGTTTACTTGTTAACAACCTTATGTGTGCCCTTCAACATGAATATCTTATTTTCTTCGCAAACCATGGCCTAAATGGTATCCAAAATTGAATTGTTAATCGGTTTTCAAAAGATATTCATTCATATTTATGGTTTCTTTCTGGCTAGAAGTTTGAGAATTTACTGAAAGAATATTACTAGCAAATGAATTGGCATATAAATTTGTCAGCATTTCATTTTTTCCATAAGATCTTTTTACTTCTCAGTTCCTGATCCTGAATCTGTTCGAAGGCATTTATATCTTTTTGTATGTGATAAACTATATCGTGAACTGTTGCCATTGGAACCTATTGTTGTTGTGTCCATTTATAGTATGATGGTTAAGCTAAGAAGAAAAAGCTAAGTTATTTTTTTTTTCCAAAATAAGTTACTTTTTTCGTATTTTTAGTCCATAAAAAATAATTATTTTAAACTTTAGTCATTTACTCATAAGTAAACTTTTTAAGCTTAGCCAAACATGTTCTTCATAGCAAATAAATCTTAGGAAAACGAAAGGCAGGATAAGCGTTTCGTTTTTTCTTTTCCGGGTGCAGATTTTCAACTGTTTCGGCTTCCAATTTTGCCTGCACTTCGAGGCTCTCAATCTAGGAACATCACCTGTTTACATGGCATTCATCCGTTTCATGGGTGATGATCAAGATGCGAAAAAGTTCAATTACAGCTTAGAAGTTGGTGGAAATGGCAGAAAGCTAACATGGCATGGAGTTCCAAGGAGCATTCGCGATAGTCATATAACAGTTAGAGACAGTTTGGATGGGCTAATTATCCAAAGAAACATGGCACTCTTTTTCTCCGGAGGTAATAAACAGGAACTGAAGCTGAAAATGGCGGGGCGCATTTGGAAGGAACAATCATAATCTCAATCTTTTCATGCTCGTGGAATTTGTTTAAATATACAGTGCCATACATTCTCATAGTAGGTGGAGGATTTTATTAATTTATCAGCAACTGAATTACAAAACAGATGTGGCCTAATCCTTTTTGACAGTTCAAAGTTGTCACTAGATTCACTCACGACAATTCAATGCTGGTTAGTGGTTACTTGTATTGCATCTATAAAGTTCATGAGTCATCTGTTAGCAAATTTTGCCTTCTCGTTTTCCTCGTTTTGCGAATTTATCTACAGATACAAAACCGATAGAAATTTCCGTTGTTCTTGTGTAGTTGGAGGTCTGGTAGTTTGTTGCCTCATTGTAGTTTGTGCTAAAACTGCTGGCAGTGATATTGGAAGGTCCTGTTCTTGGAAATACCATGTGTTGAGTTGTTTTCTAGCAGTGTAAGGCATGCCATTGCTCACAAGCCTCCTAGTGCATGTATAGTATCTAAAAGCATGTTTGTGAAGGGTTTATAAACAATTTTGTTTATAAATAGATAGAAATGAGCTATGGATGTGAGAATTGTATTTGTGGGTCTGTGTGGTTTGAGTGTTTCTAAACATAAGTCCCACAGTTTAAGATTAAACAGTATAATGAATAAGATTTTAATTTATTTAATACTGGTTGGTCGGTAATACCTTAAAATTGACTATTCAGAGATGAAACCTCGATTGGAAATATTCATTTGATGTTTTGGTTCAATAGTATATAAATTTAAGTAATGCTGCTAATACTAAGTTGTAATATATGATTATTTGGTTTCATTAATGATGGTATGATGGTAAATTGTTACACGTGCAAGGGACAAGAACATTGTTTGAGCCCCATTTTTTAAGAATGCAATTTTTCAAAACTCATTTTCAATCATACGTTCTCTTATAAAATAATTATAGTACATTTCAAAAAAATTCATTACTTTTTAATTACACATTCTTCAAAAAATCACTATTTTATAGTACATTTTACCCCCAAAATAAGGATCAAATGGGGGATAAAAAATTTTGAATTGTGATAGGTAATTCTTGCTTATCTCAACGTTGATTGGATTATTTCGTGTTAACATATAGAGAATTAATTGTTATGCACAATAATGGTTACTTTTATGTGGGCATAAAGGCACGTTCTACATTTGGTCGAAAAAGATTGAATATTACTAAGCTTTTGTTTGACAACTATTATTTGAGAAAAATAATATTTTGAATAGTAATTTTTAAGAGAATGCGTGGTTAAAAGTAGGGTAAAGTTTGGGTTTACGTACAAAATATTTTATCGTGTGAATGTATGATTGAAAATCAGTATGTAGAAAAAATGGTTCAAATAGCGATTGTCAAACTAGGGCTAAAATTGCATTAAGACCCCGTTGGTACACATTTTGGGAGTAAGAATGCATTTTTACTGTTGATGTGATGGAGAATATAGGTTGAAAAAGAAAGAAATGCTATTGATGTAATAAAAAATATTATTTTATTGAAAAATGTGTAGTTGAAAATGAGTAGAAAAATGAGAATGAAAAAAATAATGTAGCTCAAACATGGGCTAAAGAAGAATAAATCAACAATGTTGATTCGATTTGACGATGTTGCTTACACCCTTCAAAATCAATGTACATTTCATGAGCTATACATGAATCATTTAGATAGTTCGAGCGTCGACAATTGATGGTACAACAATAGTGAATGTTGAGAATTAAGTTGTTTCATTTTAAAGGCCGATGACCAATGTGCTACTGCCTCAATAGATTGGTAGCAAGTGATGTAATTTTTCCCACATAGTACGGAGGCAAGTTAAAGTAGCGATTTTACTGGTAACAATGCGACTTTAGTTCAAATTGCACTGTGGAAAAGTAGAGCCCGTCTGGAGAGAGACAAACCCCCAAAACCTCCATAGCTGCTGAAATCTAACTTCTGATTCGGAGAAAAAATGAGAAGGATAGTGAGAACTCTCTCACTATCAAAGCTCAGAAAGCTTCTCAGTTCATCTTCTTTCTCTACCTATATATACAGAAGACCTGTATATAACTCCACCCCTTCTTTAATCCTTGTCGGCTCACCCACTGTCTCGGCCTCCTCTCAAAACCCTGCTAAAACCCTACCACTGTTATTTTTGACTCGATATTTTTCTGCCCAACAATTGAAAAATCAGTCCTTTACAAACTTAACGATGTCCAGAGATGGGAACTACGACGAGGCCACTTCAGATACCATCCCCGTTTGCCCTGGCTGTGGTATCTACTTGCAAGACTCTGACCCTAAGCAACCTGGGTTTTTCGTTAAACCCTCGCCTGTGTCAAACATGGGCTAAATTTCAACAACACATTCTCCAAAAAATACTATTCCTTACTTCATTTCTTTACCAATAATGGTAGACAAACAGGCTCTTAATACTGTTTGGTTAGTAATACCTTAAAATTGACTATTCAGAGATGAAACCTCGGTTGGAAATATTCATTTGATGTTTTGGTTCAATGATATAGAAATTTAAGTAATGCTGCCAATACTAAGTTTTAATATATGATTATTTGGTTTCATTAATGATGGTATGATGGAAAATTGTTTGAGCCCCATGTTTTAAAAATGCAATTTTTCAAAATTCATTTTCAATCATACATTCTCTTATAAAATAATTATACTCGCATTTCAAAAAAAAAAAATCATTACTTTTTAATTACACATTCTCCCAAAAAATCACTATTTTATAATATATTTTACCCCAAAAATGAGGATCAAACGGGGAAAAAAATTTTGATTTGTGAAACGTAATTCTTGCTTATCTCAACGTTAAGTGGATTATTTTGTGTTAACAGATAGAGACTTAATTGTTATGCACGATAATGGTTACTTTTGTGTGGACATAAAGGCACGTTCTAGCGTTCTACATTTGGTCGAAAAGATTGAATATTACTAAGATTATGTTTGACAACTATTATTTGAGAAAGACAATATTTTGAATAGTAATTTTTAAGAAAGTGTGTGGTTAAAAGTAGGGTAAAGTTTGAGTTTACGTGCAAAATATTTTATCGTGTGAATGTGTGATTGATAATCAGTACGTAGAAAAAATAGTTCAAATAGTGATTGTCAAATTAGGGCTAAAATTGCATTAAGACCCTGTTGGTGCACGTTTTCGGAGTAAGAATGCATTTTTACTGTTGATATTATGGGGAATATGTGTTTGAAAAAGAAATAAATGTTATTGATGTAATGAAAAATATTATTTTATCGAAAAATGTGTGATTGAAAATGAGTAGAAGAATGAGAATGAGAAAAGTAATGTGGCTCAAACATGAACTACATAAGAATAAATCAACAGTGTTGATTCGATTTGACTATGTTGCTTACACCCTTCAAAATCAATGTACATTTCATGAGCTATACATGCCAATATAATCATTTAGAATAGTTCGAGCATCGAGGATTGATGGTATAACAATAGTGAATGTTGAGAATTAAGTTGTTTCATTTTAAAGGCTGATGACCAATGTGCTACTGCCTCAATAGATTGGTAGCAAGTGATGTAATTTTTCCCACATAGTACGGAGGCAAGTTAAAGTAGCGATTTTACTGGTAATAATGCGACTTTAGTTCAAATTGCACTGTAGAAAAATAGAGCCCGTCTGGAGAGAGACAAACCCCCAAAACCTCCATAGCTGCCGAAATCTAACTTCTGATTCGGAGAAAAAATGAAAAGGATAGTGAGAACTCTCTCACTATCAAAGTTCAGAAAGCTTCTCAGTTCATCTTCTTGCTCTACCTATATATACAGAAGACCTATATATAACTCCACCCCTTCTTTAATCCTTGTCGGCTCACCCACTTTCTCGTCCTCCTCGCAAAACCCTGCTAAAACCCTACCACTGTTATTTTTGACTAGATATTTTTCTACCCAACAATTGAAAAACCAGTCCTTTACCAACTTAACGATGTCCAGAGATGGGAACTACGACGAGGCCACTTCAGATACCATCCCCGTTTGCCCTGGCTGTGGTATCTACTTGCAAGACTCTGACCCTAAGCAACCTGGGTTTTTCGTTAAACCCTCGCCCAAAGGTTTCATAGACAAGATAATCGGAAAGAAAGGGTCTTTTGTTGAAGAGTCTGAAATCCCAGATATTCTCAAAAAAGGCCTTTTGAATGACATAGTAGACATTGAAAATTCCGAAAATCCCGGCATCCGTGGTAAGGTTTTTGATGAAAACTCGAAAAATGTCAAAAATCTTGGCAGCTCGGATGAAATAGTAAGTGAAAAACCAATTGTATGTGCCAGATGTCACAGTTTGAGGTACTATGGAATGGTGAAGGAGCCGCGTGCGGAGAGCTTGTTGCCGGATTTTGACTTCGATCACACTGTTGGGAGGAGGTTGATCTCGATAACTGGGGCAAGGACTGTGGTGTTGATGGTGGTGGATGCCGTAGATTTTGATGGGTCCTTTCCCAAAAAAGTGGCTGAATTGGTTTCGAGAACTGTTGATGAGAACTCGCGATCATGGAAGGAGGGTAAGTCGGGGAATGTGCCTAGGGTAGTGTTGGTGGTGACAAAGATTGACCTTTTGCCTAGCTCCTTATCACCTACCAGGCTAGAGCATTGGGTTAGGACACGGGCAAGGGAGGGTGGGGCTGGGAAATTGACAAGTGTGCATTTGGTGAGTGCAGTGAGGGACTGGGGAGTGAAGAATTTGGTAGATGATGTGGCCGGGTTGGCAGGGCCAAGAGGGCAAGTGTGGGCAATAGGGGCCCAGAATGCCGGAAAGAGCACGCTGATCAACGCAATAGGGAAGTGTGTCGGCAGGAAGTTGACTCATTTGACAGAGGCGCCAGTGCCAGGGACCACACTGGGGATTGTGAGAATGGAGGGAGTGTTTCCTGGGAATGCCAAGTTGTTTGATACTCCAGGACTTTTGCATCCACATCAGATATCAACTAGGTTGACCAGGGAGGAGCAGAAGCTAATTCATATAGGGAAAGAATTGAAGCCAAGAACATACAGGATCAAGGTCTGTTGAAATTCTTGTTGATTGTTTCAATGAAGGCAACTTAATAGTCGTCATTGATTGTTTTAACCATATTGGAATGCATCCTTCTTAACTTGTAGATGATGAATGTAGTGACTGATGAATTTTGTTGTGCAAAATTGCCAATTTTGTTTCTCTCTCCTTTAGGTTGCTGAACAAATAGTAATGGCTTAGATATTTTTAGAGCTTAAAATATATCCGTAAGTTCGCATTTATTTCTGCTGTTATTTAACCATGACTTTGACTATTGTTTATTTAGATTCATGATAGAGATACTTATCTGGAGCTTTAAAGCTTATGTGGGTATGTGACTGTGTACAGACTCTGCAGATTGGACTTTGTGAGGAAAAGATGAAGGGAAAATTGGAAAACTATACATACAAGTGTCTGTTTTTTAGCTGAAAGCATTTGGAATGCTCTCTCATTGGGAAAGTTTATTTGCAAGTTCTGCTTGTATGAGTTCCTCTTCTAGTGCTCCCAGTGCAAGAAAATTATAATTTTGAGGCTAACTTTAGATTGATTGAGTTGCTTTTTTCTTGTCATTCTAGCTAAAAAGGGATGCATGCCTAAAGGAAGCATATTGTTCTCATTATAAGGTTTACTTCAATCAGTTTAATGGTGTAGCCTGGTAGGAGGATCTTGTAACGGCCGAATCCTTTCTATGGTGACGGGATTTGAATTGAAACCTATTTTTCAGGGATCTTTGGTTTGATGACCAGAATATTGTTTTCATCTCTTTTTGTCATTTAATCATTATGTCAGACAATTTCAAATATTCTTTGTGCTATTGCTGGGATGTGTTTAGAGTGCTATAATGTTTAGGTTTGGCGAATAAAAATTATGATAATATTCGCCAATGCAGATGTTCAATAACAGTGGGTCAGTTAGTTTTCCCAGTTATCAAACTTTTATATATGGTTTGAATTTTAATATTAGCAGTATGCAGAATACCTGAAGTGGAGGACGTTATCATGGTCGTCCGTGTTCTTGTGCCGGCTGGGTCATCAATCTATCCTGTATTTTTTGCATTTTTCTGCTTGAATGTGCTAATTTGCTAGTGATTTTTTTTTTTAAATCCAAAAAGTAATTTGACATTATCTTCTATTATCTAATCTGGACAGGCAGGGCATTCCGTTCATATTGGGGGACTGATGAGGCTAGATATTGAAGAATCATCCGTAGATTCTATTTATGTAACAGTATGGGCATCTGCTCTGCTTCCACTGCACATGGGGAAGTCAGAAAATGCTTGCAAGATGTTGGAAGATCATTTTGGCCGTCAGTTACAAGTATAGTTTGCTTTAGCCAGTAATTGGTTCTATATTATTGCTCGCAGTAAATTCATTTGCATTTACAATGTCAAAAACAATTCTATTGTTATTCTTGATAACAAAGACTTTGTGCAATGCGTTAATAATAGCTATTGTGCTGTGCATTTCTGAGGCATAGAGTGCTTGCTGTATGCTCTCTCCCTGTTTCTGTCTCTCTGTGTGTTAAAAGTTATATGTTTTATATTCCAAAGCGGGTTCGAAGTTTGTTGACTGAAATATTAGTAGTTTGCCCATGTTCCCTGGTTCTCAACCTTTTTAGGATGCCAGGCATTAATTTTCTTGTTGGTGCTCATTGAGGGAACATGATAGTTCTTGTAAAACCTATAACGTCTTTCTTGATACAGACACCGCTGATACTTCTTTATACGTTTTCTTTTTCAGCCTCCCCTTGGAGAAGGGCGAGTTGAGGAGCTCGGGAAATGGGTGAAAAAGGAAATCAGTGTTAGTGGCAGCTGGTGGGATTCAAGTTGTGTAGATATTGCAGCTTCTGGTCTTGGTTGGTTTGCAATCGGACTAAAGGGAGAGGCTCGACTAGGTGTTTGGACCTATGATGGAATCGATGTCGTCGTTCGAAATGTTTTGCTTCCTCAGAGATCACACAGATTTGAAGTTGCAGGTTTTACTGTATCAGAAATAGTCTCCAAAGCTGATCGAGCTTCTTTATTCGTCGCATTCTTGGTTTCGAAGAGAAAACCTATCGGCTCAACAGCAGTAGCACATCCTACATCATCATCATTAACTATTGATGCAGACTCAAATTTAGCGTCCCCTTAGTCATCTTGAAAGACATGTCTAGTTGATGATTTAGAGTTCACTGTTCACCTAACGGCTGTCCGGCCTTGAGTTGATATATGGTCAATCGCTGCTGGTCTAGAATATTGTTGATTTTATAAACAATTTAAATTATAAATGAATAAAAATAAGTATTGAATAAGTGAGAAGTACTTACGGGTGTGGATGAAAAATAGTTTGACAATTTATAAACATTAGCCAAGCAGAGACCATTATTTACTTTGGTATGGACAGTTTGAAAGAATTAGGGTGTGTTTGAGCCACATTTTTTTGAAAGAAAGTATTTTGGAATGGTAGATTGATGGAAAATGTGTGGTTGAAAAAGAAGGAAAAGTTATTGATGTGATGTAAAATATTATTTTATTGAAGAATGAGAATTTTAATGTGGTTCAAACATGGGCTATAAAAGCTCGACATTGTTTCGTGCTCTGTATTTTTTTGATGAGATGACGACGACTCGTGAACAAGTTGATAGATTCTCTATTGGTGACTAATTGCACTGTTCACCTTAAATAAGTACAAAGGTAAATTTTTAGGGACGGCTCCCTATTGCTTCAAAAACCTCCTCCGATATTTAGTGCCTGTTTGGTAGCGATTTTCCACCCCAATTAAAATGATTTTTCCAACCGTTATCACATTTTTCAGTCGTTATTTTTGACCCACCCTCTCACGGTGGGCTCCACAAGTACAAAGCAACGATCATTTTTCCTCTTAAAATTTGATGAAAATGATTCCCAAACGCAGCCTTATTTTCCACAACGAATTTCTCTCTTATTAGTCAAAACTACATTTTTTTCTTGTTTTTGTTAATCCTTGTTTGAGTCCCATTTTTCTAAAAATCCATTTTTTAAAAAATTCATTTTTATCGCATTCTCTAATAAAATAACTTTACACGTAAATTGAAATTTTTTTCTTACTTTTTAACCACACATTTTCTAAATAATCATTATTCCAAAATGGAGCTTGAACAAGGGCTTAGTCTTTAGGTACTGATACTATAAATTAAATCTATTATTGAATAATAATTTACTATCCTAGGTTCCCCCTCACTTTTCTTAGTCTCTATTTGGTGGGGATTAAAATTAGATTTTTGGTGGATTTTAATAAAAAAGTTTGAAATGCGTGGTTAAAAAGTTGTGGGACTCATAAAATATGTGATTAATATCGATTATTTAATTTTGATTTAAATTAAGATCTGATTTAAATCAATACCAAACAGGGGCTTAGTGTAACTGTTATTAATATTAGGGATAGCATCAAAAGCTCAAAACCTTTGAAATACTAACAGACTTTCTACAAACCTTTCATTTGTTGCAGCCGTTACCTTTAACATTTCCAAACGTTACACGTGAGACCCATTTGGACGGTTTTCATTCACAATTCCGTCAGTTAACCAAAAATTCATATTTGACCACATTTAGAAAGGGGCAAAAGAGTAACTTTCTATTTATCACATTAAATAATTAAATTTATTAAATTAAAAAATAACAAATAAGACAGAACAAAACAAATCTCCTCTTCCTCTCACCTCCTACCCCTACCTCAAACCCAAAATCAGCTACCCATCATCGCAACCTCCATCACCAATCACCTTCCACCGTCCACCCCATCACAATTGCTTAGGGATGGCCACCGGGCGGGGGGGCCCTCCCCGCCCCGCTAAGAAATTCCCTGCCTCATCCCCATCCCCGCCCCGTTACCCGTTTAAGGCGGGGCGGGG